TTTGAACACCATTGAATCGATTTGACACAAGTCTGATGTAAGATCTGAAAACATACATCCAGTCTTTGTAATGTACATGTTCATTTCGAGGTTGAGGCTTGATTTTGAGAGGAATCGATTTCAGGTAAAGTACGATAAGCCATTTGTTCTGCTGCTGTTGGGTCCATACCACGCCCTAGGAGATCTACAATCATTTGACTACGAGCTAAGGCCCGTTTGGTATTCATTTCCTCAATAGCTAATGATCTTTTCATTGCGAGCTCTTTGTCACGATTAGTAGTTATCATTGTTGACATTGATTCAGCAAGTTTCATCGTAAGGTTTTCTTGGGTGCGTGCTGCACGTTGTTCAGTCTCGATTCGTTCTTCTTTTGTAGTTAGACATTTGACTATTGAATTAACCCCCAACATATCTTGAGGCGAATGATTTTCCGGAGTAAGTAAAGGATCCTTAGTATCCTTACTGTTGATTCAACGACGTTTAATATTTGGTTTTGCAAGTGTAGTGTTTGGGGTAAGCTGACGGACAAGAGGCTTCTTCTTCGATTTGTTTTGTAAATCTTGATGTTCAGTAATATCCATCGACGTCTGATGTTGTAAAGAATGACCAGGGGGAGTTTCGTCCCAATCATCTTCGTAAGGGGTGGTGGCCTCGCTCAGATCTTGAGCCAGATTGGTTTCAAAGTCTTTCGCCGCAGTCGAGGTATTTAGAGAGGTCAATGGGTCAAGTTGATCACCTAAAGAGTCCCTCACAGCCAAAGGATTGGCAGAGGGCCGATCACCCATGACGGGCTCGAGTTCTTCAAACCAAGGACATTTACGAAGAATTCTCTCTGTAGAAGTAAAGTCAGTAAGAATAATGAAATCAATGATAGTTGAAAGCACATACCCTGAAGACTTCCTTGATTATCATCTTTCTTAAAACCTCCAGCTCTCTTAGCCAATTTGAATTCTTCGAGTTTGTCCTTGGACAGCGTATGTTCAAACTTTTCACCGTTGTGATTACCCTCCCCAGTTCCCTTTCTCAACTCGTTAGCGTCTTTGAACCATCGTTCCAATGACTTGATCTATATAATGCAATGAAACAAAAAGAAAGTAACGAAAGAAGGATGATTAGAAAAGATAGTTTGAGCCTACATGCAAACCCCACTCACCTTTTTTAGGCATTCTCAACCTGGTCTGTTGAGATGATTCTTGCTAGCAAGAAATTCGGCCACCTTTTCGCAAATCACAATTTGCTTCTGGGTGCGCCAAGCATTGAAGTTTTCATACACACTACACCATTCCGCCACAAGATCCATGTCCGACTTGCCATCTTCGCTTTGAGGAATCAACCAGCTTCTTTGATTAGGTTCCGGATCAATTGACTCGTCATCTTGTGTTTTTAAATCATTTTGATTTTCAGAATCTGAATCAGGTTGAGATGGACGAAGCGATGTGTCAATTTTCGAATTTTTTTGTTTCGAAGGTCGTCCTCGAGGCCTCTTAGGAGGGTTAGGAGTGGCCGTAGGAGGTGTCGCTTGATTGTTCGATAGTGGCATCAGAGCAGTAGAGATTGAATTGAGTTGTTGTAGGCGTAACCAGTCCGATGCGGAAAGGGTTGGGATTGTGAAAGTCGTTGAAGGTAAAGCTGCAGGAGCTCCACCGATGTTTGCTCCAATAACTGGTTCAACTAAGCTAGTTGAGTTGGTGGGAGTAAATGTGGGCGTGGATCCAGAGTTGATTGGGGTATGTGGGGATCGTGAGGAGGGGTTATTTGACTCCATACTGGTTTTTTTTCACATGTGGGTTTTCATATCACCCAGCCTATACCCACATGAAAAAACCCGCATGAAAAAACCAAAAAACCATGCGGGTTTTTCATGTGGTTTTTCATGCGGGTTTTAATATTTGTGTACCGCTAATATTTGAGAGTTTTGCTTGGTGTGGCGAGCAAAACCAGACCAACTTGAAAGTGGTTTATCCTCTGTAGATACATTGAAGATCATGTCACTAAAATGCTTTGTAGGCCCCCTCACAACAAAAATTCGCTTTGGAGAACTTGTAGACGGCACGGCTTGTTCATTTGATGAATGTTGGTTTAAATCAACATCCGATTCACTCGGACCCCATTGAGGAGGATGATTGGAACAATCTGATTGGTCTTCTTCTTTGATGATTACATGGTCTTGTTGGGTTGCTTGAAGTGGGTTGATGTTCATAAGTTTAGAATCATGATTGTGGTTAGGATATTTGCCGGAATAGTTTTGTATTGATGTACAATCATTGTTTTGGTACTTACTATTTCTATCAGGATTAGAATCGCATGCGTATTCTTTCACTACAAGAAAGATAATATTTTCTGGGCAGAAAATTAAATTATTGATACACAAAAATATTGAGAGGCCAGGAGGAGAGCAAAAGATGAATAAAAATATGCATCTTGTTCCCTGCGTTGAGAGCTTCACTCTGCATATTTTTCCGTATTTTTACAGTCCATATTGATAAGTGCACTAACAATAAACCTTCACAATCATCCAATTACAACCTGTAACAAGCACTGAAATTTGGCTCATTAGTGTTTAGAGAAACTTTTGATTTCTGAAAATACTCATAACTTTTTCAATTCCGGTCCAAAACGCTCGATTTTGGGCAGCATTGGTAACACTGGAATTGTCCTCCAAATAGTTCATAATGAGACCACACAGCATGATGGTCAGCTATAAAAGATGTCATCTTTTTTATACATATGGCCATACAGATCTATAGAATGATTACCATACTAGCTACATAGTTCTTGATCTTATGAAAGTTTGAGAGGAAGAGTTCAGCTTTCTAATGCACTTAAAATCGAGTGTTTTGAGGCAGATTTGACAAAGTTATAGGCGTTTTCAGAAATCAAAAGTTTCTCTAAACACTAATGAGCCAAATTTCAGTGCTTGTTACAGGTTGTAATTGGATGATTATGAAGGTTTATTGTTAGTACACTTATCAATACGGACTGTAAAAATATGGAAAAATTTGGAGAGTGAAGCTCTCACCGCAGGGAACAAGATGCATATTTTTATTTATTTTTTGCCCTTCTCCTGGCCTCTCAATATTTTTGTGTATCAATAATTTAATTTTCTGCCCAGAAAATATTATATTTTGTGTAGTGTTTGTTGGTCATGTGGTTTGGCATGAGAGCTGGGTTTGGGTTGAGCATGATGTTTTGTTGCAGTGGTTTCAAAGAGGAGCTTGAGTTGAGAAACCTTTGAGTGAGTTTGCTTGATAACGTGATGATCTTCAAACCTTTAAATGCGGTCCAGTAAAAAGGTGATTGTAAAAGATGTTGCTCAGTTCGAAAGGACCAAGCACGCCACGCTAAGTATATCTAACTCTCATTTATAGTGCTCAGTCAGTCTTGAAATTCATTATCGCCTTTTGTGTTTTTGAGTGATCAGGGTCTTGTAGGAAAATCACTGGTCTAGATTAATAATCATCTGAATTGATAAGGGTCAAACAACTTCTTAAGTAAACTCGGAAATGTTTAACAACACCGCCATTGCCAAGATGTGATCATAAATCTTCCAACCATACATCATCATGGTAGTACTAGCCAGGCCATGCAAGAATTTGAATTGAATGGCGAAAAATTCATTAATGGTTTCGCACAAGGTGCTACGAAGGTCTATCGCACTGCCACAACCTCATGATGAGATGGCCGAATTGATTACGTACGATACATAGGTATAAATCCTTTCAGTCATCCTTTTTACAAAAAGATGCACAAAGAGTATGTCTTTCAATGCAATATCGATTGATCAGGAAAGAGTTGCCTGTACCTAGAAAAAAAATGGCACAAAGTGTAAGAGTGGCAAGCATGTGTGGCTAACTTCAAGCAGCTTCGAGTAAAGAATGTGAAGTACAGAGGTTTTGTGAGATCCAGTGAGTCTAGCTTGATCAAGCTCTGATGGATGTCCTGATACAAATGATCCAGTTTGGAACATTTCTCGGGCTTTTCTCACCTGATATGACCATTTAATTCAATGCTCTGCAGAAATATCTAAATGTCCTATCGGTTTGTGGCATCAAACCGTCACGCCATTTCGTCATATTAATTGCTACCTATCCAAGTCAATAAAACACATTCCTGCACTAACATAGACTGAGCAGCTCCTTGCCAAAGTTTGAGCAACTCTCGGAATTAAAAATCAAAATTTTCGTTCACATTCATGCTACAGATGCCCAAAGGCACGACAGCATCTGTGTAATTCCATGAGATGGAACAGGGCGCACATGACTCGAGTACTCTCGGTACCCGAAGAGAGAGTGGGTACCGAGAGAGAATGGGGAATGATTTTCCCCAACGGAAACAAATTTAGGAAAAGAATATTACATCTCTTTAACAAATTTGTTTCCTCCTTTACTCGAATCATCAAACAACATCAACAACAAATAAGGTAGAAGAAAAGTCTCAGCATTTCTTCATAAATTTTTCTTTTTACCTCCCACCCACCCCTGCACCCTGCCTCGCAGAGAGCCTACCCCGGCAAAGCACCAGCGGCCTGTCGGCCCCCCCCACACACGCGATAAGACTTAAGTAATTAAGTCTTAAAGCTTACGGTACTTTGTTCTAAGGTAGCAAGAGAAAATACAATATATGAGACAGAAATGAATACATAACAACTTTGAGAGTTTAGAAATAAAACAAAGATTTTATTAAAAAGGAAAAATCACACATAAGAAATGTGACACTCCCACATAATGGACTCATACACATTTGACTACCTCATGAGTGACCTTCGTGCTCTACAACAGAAGAGGCCTCCTTTCATTGGGATTCCGATCTGAGGATTTCTTGCCTCGACTTGGCCACAAACCTGAATAGGCTGTAGAAAACACTCGGGACCCGCCGGGCGGGGCTATGACCGGATCATAGACCGGCTACATGCGCGTCATTCGAGTATGTATGTAAAAATTACAAGTGCCTCACAAAAAAATTCAACTCATCGGATTCGATAACCCAAACTTATTGAAAAACGAAAAACACAATACCAGGAACAATGAACGCCGAAACACCTAATACTGAATCAAACGAGAATCAAGATGGAAATGGAATAGTGATGATTCAAGAAGAAGATGTAGCAGAAATCATTGAATTAAATCAAAATGAAATCAATCACTCCGATGAAGAGATGGAAACCAATTCAAATCAAAATGATAATGATGATAATGAAGATGATGATCAAGAAATGGAAACGAACGAAACAGAATCAGAGCCGATACCAGGAAATTTTATTGGTAGATTTATAAATCATACAAGTCCAATTTTTCATATAGCTACTCATCCTAAATTACACAATATTTGTGCAAGTGGTGGTGGTGATGATTTAGGTTATATTTGGGATTCAGAAAATGGAAATCTAATTGAAACTTTAAATGGTCATTTAGAAAGTGTTTCGATTTTAAAATTTTCGGAAAATGGTCATTATCTTGCTAGTGCTTCTGTAGATGGTAATATTAAAATTTGGCAAAGTCAAGATTTAGTTAACTATAATCGTTGGTCATTTTTGATTGATTTGGAAGGTAGTGAGGAAGTCACAGTGAGTCATTTGAGTTTTCATTCAGTTTCCTTTCGGTACAGAGATTTTCCATTAGGGTTAGATTTATTGATATCTACTTTGACTAGGATTAGTGGATTTCTTGGCATCCAAAGGGAAGTGTTCTCTTAGCTGGCTTTGCTGATGGACTAAGTACAATGTGGAGTAGTGAGTGATGATCTCTCGAAAAACCCATGCAGAATTGGATTTAACAAAACTTTCCTTCACTTGATTTTATTCAGTACCTTCCGGCGAGACAATGCAAGTCTTTAACGGTCACAACAGCATGGCTACGTGCGGGCAGTTTACACCTGATGGTAAGCCAATCGGGCTTCGCTCGACTCATTCAAATCTGCAATTTTCATTTACTGATTCCTCATGATACACATCAAGGCAAGACAATAGCGGTTGCATCCGAAGAATCTCGCTTGATCATCTTCGATCCTACCACCGGCTCTGCAATTCAAAGAATCAGTCTCAGGGAGACAAAGAACCGATTCAGAACGCCCGATGGTAGCTACGGAATCAATTCACTTGCGATCAACCCAGCCAGCACACTTTGCGTTCTAGGTGGAATCTCAAATGGAGGTGTTCGAATTGTAAACATTCGAACTGGGTTGATCATCGCTGCCCTTGACAACAACCATGAAGGAGATGCTACAATAGAGGTAGCTTGGTATGAGCCTAAAAAACTTGGAGATGGTGTTCCATTGATTATCAGTACTGGTACAGACGGTCGAATATGTCTCTATGATGCTGTAAGCTATAGACTGAGAGCAACCATGAAACATCCAGTAAGTAGATATTTTTTAGATTAGATACCTTCGGATAACTTTTCTTGACGCATATATTCTTACAGGAAGCTATCACGACCATGGTCCTACACATTGAAACTGGTCGATTAACCACTGGATCAATTGATAAGACATTGATCAGTTGGGATTTGAGAACCGGAAATGAAGTCCAAAGACATCATGGCCATCATGATATGATTCATCATGTTAATCTTACATGTGATGAGAAAAGATTGATTTCTGCTAGTGAAGACGGGACGGCTTGTGTATTTCAAGTCATTTGATCATATAATCTAAATTCTTTTTTGTGGATGGAAAGTTGAAATAGTTGAAATAGTTAACTTGGATTGATGACCTTTTTTTCCCTTTGTTTATTTCAATCCTTTGATTTGAGTCCTCTTATAATAATACTTAAATCAGTAAGATGCTCCAAGTTCAAGAAAGTGAAAGAATGAAGGAAACATCACTCAAAACTATCACTGTTTTGAAATATGCATCCCAAAGACTTGAAAGCCAATTGTGAATTGATGATAAGTAACCCAATGAATTAGTGTGTGAGTTTTTAGTACAGAGGAGATTTTCTACCAATTCAGAGGGGTTTGGGGTATGGATATACATTGAACTCACTTTTAAGAAATGATAATAATATGCTGGATTTCATTGACTGGCACCTGTATGTAGTTTAAGGCCGTTACTAACAAAGCTTAGTGCATATTGAGTCAGGGCTTCTCTGAAAACCAAAGCATTGATCCTCCTGCCAAAATCAACTTTGGGTTTCAAGAGGGGCAAGGGTAAGAAATTTGTGAGTGATCAAAGTTGTGTCCTGACTTCTCAGGCTCTACCTGACACACATCAAGATCTAGTGCAACACCCACAACACAGGGGCCAAAGGGTGTGAATGACACTCCCACCACAAGTACAGTCAAACTTACCATCTCCAAGCGTCTGGGAGAACAAAAATACTCATTGCAACTTTGGGATGACTGGAAAGATGACAAACCTGTTCAATCACATCACACAAGCATATATATCTGCCATGTATTGAGGACTGTGGAAATTTAGCAGTAGAGGCTATCCATTACAAGATACCAATATAATACATTGCAATCCATAACAGAGCAATTAGCTATTTTTTATGGGGACCTATATTTTTCACCCTTTTCTTTCCACCTGTTTTGTGGTGTAAGATACCAGCAGGTGGAAAATTGGATAAGGCTCATATGTAATTTCCCTTCTTCTGTCCATTTCAACTCATGAATGAAAACCAAAAGGTGGAAAAAACTTGTGTGTAAAATCCCATATGGGCCACCTCAGATCAAATACAGATCAAATTGTACACCCATTTTATTCCACCATTTTAGAAAATTACACTGTGTTTTTACACTCAAACAGAAAGACACATTGTAATATTGGACTTTCTTGCTTGAGGTGCATTCAATGTCTTGTCAGAGCCTTCAATTGTGTCATTAGAACTTATGATTGACCATTCCAAAGAGTACAGTCCACCTTTTTGAACAACTTATTGAACACCTTCAATAAGATCATATACCTGATGATCAAACATTTCTAAAAATGCACTCTACACTGCAATTGTAAAGCTTTTCAATTGTACTTGCAGACAAAAACTAAGTATTTTTGTTTCCATTGGAATACAGCGGATACCATTTGGGATCAAATTCAGAGTTTTTCCTGATAGAACAGCTGGGAGGAATTTCCATTATTTAGTGGAGTTTGTTGAGGTAACCTAAGGCCCGGACTGCTCAGATCTTGGTGTCTGCCAGACTGGACTGAGAGAGATTGATGTGAAAAATTTTTGAAAGAAAAAATCTGGGCTTGCTCAGGGATAGTCAAGAGAGTGAGACAAAAGAAAACTCAAACCTATTTGATTAAGATATCCGATCATGAGGAAGATAACTTTAGTCACAAGGTGATTGGTAAAAAGTTCAGGTAATATATTGCTAACCACAACCCGTCTGTTCTAGATTTCCTTTGTCATCCATGTTAGGACCTTGGAAATCTCCCACTAGTACTGAGCCCTTGCCTGCTCATCCTCAAATTTATCTGACCAACCAGGTCCTAATTTGGTTTTTGAATCTAAATGCATCTGTCCAAAAAGATCCTAAAAGGACCCAAGTTGGATGCTGCTCAGGACAGTGAAAGTCCTGATAGGGAAGATTCCAACACCCTACTGGCAGTTTGCCCTGACTTCCAAGGCATGTTGCCACTGACATTGGCTTGCACAAACTACGTGGATGGAACTGCGGATAAGTATCATGACATATACCATGTTATCATTTTTTACACATTTAGAAGAACTGCAAAAAATTGCAAATTTTCCACCATTCCATAGCACTTCCCCCTCGGCATTTCTTTTTGTTATACCTCTCAGACACTGGAAATAATTCTATATAGCTCCTACTGCACTGAGATCTCTTCTTTTGTGTCAGTCCCTGAACACAAGTGTTAGCCGTGATTACATATGCATGTACGGTATTCTGCAAGCCCAAGATTTATATGGCTTTGAGGAAAAGCAACTCGTGCTTTTACACAAGCAACAATTGTTTTTTGAAAGGAACTTGTGCTTTGCAATGGTTGATTGCGCAAGAAATCCTAATGTTACACTGTGCTTTTCTGTTGGGGTGCAAAAACAAGGTGTCTTTTGCTACATTGGTGGAAACCAATGGGTTCAAAATTTGATCTAAGGTGGCTCATGTGGAACTTTTAGGGGATACAAAGTAGAAAGCCGGGCACGTGCCCGGGCATGTGCCCACAAGTCCAGATCCCAATTTTACAGCCAAAATTCGGGATGTGGACTTCTGGGCACATGCCCGGGCACGTGCCCGGCTTTCTACTTTGTATCCCCTATTTGTACACAAGTCTGTTTACACTCATTCCTGGTGGAAAGAATCTGGGTGGGAATTAGTTATTTCTGGGCTCAACATGCAATTTTCTACCCTAATTTTCCCACCTTTTGGTTTCCACTTGCGAGGAAAAATGGAAAAATGGTGGAAAGACAAGTATGGAAAATTCTCCCACCTAATTTTTTGACTATTCACAACAACCGGCTCCGCCTGAAAATGGAAACCGACTTTGATGGTTTCTCGCTTCTGAAAAGGTCATGATCAGCTTGGCAAGGATGCGAAGCATCCCGGTACAATTAGCCCAACCGGTCCCGTGCTACTACCTTTGCTAAAAAGCTTGCCCGGTTCAATCGCGAACAAGAGACAAGAGAGGTCGAATTTGGCCGCAGCCTGCTGCAAGGCCGCTGCGCAACTCGTCAAGATCCCAAATTTGGCCGATCACAAATTCTGAAAGAGATCGACTTCACCTGTGGATCTCTGACTTTGGGATATGTTGAGATCTATCATAAAGCACAAATATCTACCTCATCATGATGAATTCATGCTCACACTTCTATGCGACTTCTATCGCGCTGCGGGTGCTACAAAGATTTGCTTTAATCAAGACTGCAGAAAGTGATCTTAGTCGAACGGCTTGATGTGGCGTGAGCCGCCAACGTTAGTGGTCTTGCCAGCATGGGATCAAGGCCAATTGCGTGAACTTTTTTGCTAAAATTTCGAAATTAATTCAAGGCATCTTGGACATGTGTCAGTATTCTATGGTGACCTCATTTGAGCTCTTGACTGAGCACGAAGAACAAAAGATTTTCAAAAAAAGGTGTTGTCCTTTTTGACTTGTACTTTTTTATCTCATGAAGCCAAAACAAAAAAGCACAAAAGTCCATAAAGGCTTGAACACACTACTACCGATTGAATCGAGAGCGTGATCACAACCACTACTTCAAACCATTGCACCAGGAGAACTCTGGAATAGGCGGTGATTTCCATTATGAATAGCGTCGAATTAGAGCTGCACTCGACTGTATGGTTGATCTTGACATACCAAGCTCCAGACATGCTGTGAATATAGTCATAATGTGTCTCAGAATTGGTTGAAGTCAGAGATCCACAGGTGCAGTCGATCTCTTAGAATTTGTGATCGGCCAAATTTGGGATCTTGACGAGTTGCGCAGCGGCCTCGCAGCAGGCTGCGGCCAAATTCGACCTCTCTTGTCTCTTGTTCGCGATCGAACCGGGCAAGCTTTTTAGCAAAGGTAGTAAACCTTTTAGCCAACCTATGAACAGGCTCTAACTTAACAAAGTCTCTCGGACGAACGAGTATACTTTGAGAGCAACATCTCGTTTGTCCGACCTAGACTTCTCGTTTGTCTGAGAGGAACTTCTCGTTGTTCCGAGCAATAGGCCACTTTAATACAGTCGTTTTCAAAAAGCTTGCCGAAATTTGCCCGCAAAACTCGAGCAATTTGGCGGTGAATTAGCGGCAAGCTTTTTGAAAACGACTGTAATTCGATACGAAAAATGGAAACATAACTTGGTATGTACAAATAAGTCAAACACAAATATTGAACATCTCAAATATCTTCGTAACCAATCTGAATCAACACATTCGCTAACAACCATAATTGTGTATTATGTGTTTCCTTAACAACATTTGATTATATCCTTGTAAACATTACAAATCATCACACTAACCCTACGCAGCGCAAGACCTCGTTCAGGTCCATCAAAACTCTGAAATCCCAATCCACAGGAATGTGTGATTTGAGGGCCAAAGAACAGACAAAACAGGACAACAAGCCCACCTGATGCCCTGATTTGTCTATGCTGATATTATGATGTGCTGTGCATTATGTCTCATGTCCCCGCGCACCCGCTCTTCAACAAACTGCAGCATGATTATCGTGGCACACTGGGTCTAGCGAGCTATGTAACAATTGAACGGAAATGAATTTCTTAGCCTATAAAACGTGATGACCTCTGCATCAAATCCTTCTTTCGTCTTGTCCATTCTTCACACTTCTTTCGAGTATCAAAAAAATTACCAAGCTCATTCATTTCGATTGGTTTCCCTCTCTGATTTCGTTTATCTTGCATGCTCAATTCTTTCTAAACCTTTCAACTCTTTGTTTTGTAATTTTCATATTTGATTGATTTACTAGAGATGTATCCTAATGGTTCTGCTCCTAGAGTAATGAGTCCTCAATCCACTCGAGCAAAAAAATGTCAACAAATTCAAACTTCAACTATTACCCGTTGTCCAAGTCCTCTGTGTGTCTCGCCAGTCGTGAGTTTTTTATATATCTCCCTTTGAATTTCCACTGTTTATCGTTGGATAACAACACGATGACTGATTGGTTCCAATTCATTAATCTGTTTGCAACGTACTGTATACAAGACCACAAGTTCAGGTCCCGAATTCATCGGAGGAGTTGTCGATTCATGTGCCACTGGTTGTGAGACGACGACTCCACAAGATTATAAATCAATACTTCAAGAGAATCATGAGGAATCAACTCTCAAGGGTCCAAGTGATGACCTCTATCTACCTTTATCTACCGCTTCACTTCTTTCTGGATTTTCTGATCGCAAGAGTAGACGTAAGATGGTCATGCGACCTGTCTCATGCAACATGGTGAGTTTCCCTTGAATCAGAGGGGTCATAATCGATTCCGAGTCTGATCTCTGAGCCTGTTCTTGCTTGATCATAGTTTTGGGATCAAGGGACCCCAAGCGAGGATTTTAGTGCAGCGGAGGGAAGCAACGCCGTCTGGGATTCAACTCATGATACTTCTCCCGCGATGAAGTTGGCGTACTTTGATTCCTTCACAACTCAATCAGAGACACCCCTCACAACACCTGGTTCCAATGGGATCTTATCTGGTACACAGACTCGACAAGACCCAACGCCATCTGCACATTTTCCCTTCCTCGAAGCAATGAGGTCAAACAGACGCACGGCCCTGCGTCCGACAATCATACGGACTGCAAGCTTACCTACTACTCCGAATTCCCGTCCTAAGACCTCGCGGGGAATTTTGAACGCAGGGAAAGGATTCCAAGGTTTGAGTGGAAGTGTGGTGACGGGTATTGATCGCCCAGTCGTGGACGAGTCTACCTCTGTGGATAATGTTTTTGAACACCTCGAACGTATCAACGTTCCTAGCGCGACGGATGTGGTTCGCTTTGGAAAGGCTCTGAACGGAGCTCTAGACTCTTATTTGGACCGATTAAGGGAAATCACAGAAGAGGTTGAAAGACTGGATGAGAGTTACTGGAGTGATTCCGAATCTGAAACATCGGATGTCGACGATTAACGGTTTATACTCTTCTTTCCTTTGTGTCGTTTATTCTTCTGAGTGTTTAATTATTTTGTTTTTTATTTTTATTTTTGATCTTGATATTCTTTTCTGCGAATTTTCACTTGGGACAAAATGTATAAAACAAGCATAATGTATAGAACGATCAGGCCAGTTTTTTGGCCTGAACAAACTAACTGTAGCACAAATGTGAGAATCGTGCACCAAGGAATCTTAAACTCTTGTGAACGTTTCCACATGGTCTGTATGAGGATTGAATCATGCGATAAAAAATGGAAGTAGACGAGTTGAGTAATTGTTGGAAAAATCGGTATGGCTTCAATGCATTAGGCCACTTTTTGAGCCTTCTGTGTCCTCAGTCAATCGTACCACTGTTGACGCGCAAATGGCATCAAAACCTGATCGATTTCATCTTCAGCTCCTTCATCAAACAGTCTGATTGCTAATCTCAAGATTGCTTGGTCTGATAGGAATGGAGCTCAACCATTCACCAATTTTTGAATGTCTTAGATCAAATATAGATAAAAATTATGGTAAAAAAACAGCATAAGAAGTCTAAAGTTGCGCAGCGCTTGTTTTTGTGAACCTAACAATGCATAGATTGCACGGAAAATGATGAAAGAGATGGATCAAGTGCATTGGTTTATGTTTTTTGTGAGTATGTCATTGAAGGTGCTATAAGAAAGAAAGGCATTCATATGCAGAAGAGATATCAATTTCCACGAGGCTCCTTGACGCTTTCTTGCGAATCCGGTTCTATCAATTCACAGTGATGTAAATCACTTTAGATGGGTGTTACAAAGAAAGCATGATATGAGTCCTCTACCGTAGAATTCCAAGAATGATCAAGGCTTACCATCGTCCATACTATCGTGTTGAGCGACGGCCACTGCAATTGGTTGATGATTTGAACTCGCAGTCATGGTAGAGAACCTGTTTGCATAATTTGGTCAATATCAGGTGGAAGATTGACTTTGTTAAGAAATTTCCTTCATACTCCTGTGATGTCAACTTACCTATAGACACCCTTTTCCAATCCATCCTATCAGAAAGATCGAATCATGAGACAGATGTTCATGTGATGACATCATCTGGACGCGCAAGATAACTTACCTTCACTTCAGCGTGCAATTTTCCCTCTTTATCGACTGGACTGTCTATTCCTAAGGTGTTGCATATGTTGGTGATAAATTGATCATCAATTTTCACTCTGAATTGATATAAAGTTCTACACCTACCTTTGAAAAATTTAAATTCGCGAGGGTCCAGGAGGGCGGTTGAAGTCAGGCTCTCTACACGCTGAGCTACAATGTGGGTATGTCCAATCACGACTGCTGCTTCATTAAGAGTTATAGGGGCGGCAAAGTAACTGGAATATGGGAAACAGATTGTATCTCATTAATATTCTCCCTTCTTTTCTTTCCGAAAACTAAATTTGAAGGCAGAATGTTCTGGGAATGACAAACGTTTCTAGAGGAGCTGTGAAATGACCGGCCTCTAGATTCTTGACGCTTATGGATACGGTGAAAGTTTTCTTAGCTGGAACCGTGTCCAGGTTTTTTGGACTGAAGAACCTAAGACTTGGTGTTTTGTCTGGAGCTGGAATCTATGTGATAGAATTCAACATATTAGCTTCCAATCAAAGTCATATAAGGATGGACGCTCAAGTGATCAACCCTGTACAATAGTCCTCAATATACGGGAAGGAGATAGACTAACCATTCCCATGGGTATTCCATTGCATGCATTTACCTTCTTTGTTTGTGCTCCGTTCTGAATTACGGCATTACCCAACTTCCCAGCACCCGAAATGCAAAAGTTGATCTAGTATAAAGGCAATCATAGAGTGAAGATGATGAGCGTCTCAAAAACTCAAGATTTTTTGGAGGTATGAGTGAAGGCAAACAAAGTTGTTCGGGCTAGTCAATGAAGGGGCTTGTTCTGGCTTTTCCTTGCCATCGTGCTTGCTTGCTTCTTGAACGGCGAGTGGACTCAAATCCTGAGAATTTTGTGGGTCTTTTGGATCGCCACCATTGGGAGGGGGTTTATCGTCTTGTGCCAAAAAATTGTTCTCGGTCTTGGTCTTCTTGGGGACGTTCTTCTTGTTCTTGTTCTTGTTCTTGTTCTTATTTTTTCGCTTCTCTAAGCCATGGGGTGAAGATCCGTGGAAATTTTCCAAGCTGAAGATTGGTCCCTGCGTGGCATTCAGCTCGGAGTCGGTATAGACTTGTCAATTCAAGAGGCACACCGCGCTAAGCTTAACCCCGTTTGCATTTTCGATGAAAGGAAATACATTAGAGAGGCTGACCTTGTCGTGAGGCGAGCTCACCGGTGTTACAAGAAACTTCAGGGGCTCTCGACAGCCACAGTAGACAATTGATTGCCAGAGACAACTTTGGTGAAATTATATTTTGGCTGATCTTTCCAGGCATGTCAAATGTATCTTTTCGTAAAGAGGCGTTATTGATTGCAAGCGAATATTGATAGGGGAGCGTAGAATAATAATTAACTTCGAACACCAGGTCCAAAAACTCTCAAAATTGAATAGAGGAGCGGAACAAAGAAGCGCGGTGTTTTCAAAAGACTCGTTAGTTTATATACGTGTGCAGATTTTGAGTTCGTGAATCGCCCCTCTGTAACCTAGCACATTGCTGGCTCGTTTTGAGGATGTAAACCGACCTCGATCACTTTCTCTTCAGATGACGACTCCGAGATTTTAGCCGAAGCACGAGGTATTCTCACAATAGTTATCATGCGAGGTCTTCTCCTCATTTGAGCTGTTGCTTAACGACCTCCATATTGTATCTCGAGCACGCTGATGCTGAACGAGTGTGTCGATAGCTTACTTCATTGCAGTCTACCGGTGGACCGGACAACAACATGGAGATTGAACGAGGAGAATATTAGATGATCAAAATTTCACCATCACCCCTGCCCTTTTACAAAACCCTGATATCAGAAGCTGAATGTTGGCTGACTTCTGAAGGTTTCAAATCTGCGGTCATAACCTCTTGACGGAACCTTGGAACTTGCGAGCCGGACTTTATACAGAGGAGCAATGCTGCAGACCCGTCTACGCAAGGAAGCTGGAGATTGGGCAGATATGTATATGCTTCAGTGATGAACGCGAGCAGTAAGCCACGGCATAGATATAAGAGAAAAAGCTACGAAACAGATGATAGTCGCACGAAAGGGCTCATGTATCATATGAAGTTGAACAACCTCATCAGTCTAAGTAGCCTCTGATTCTCGATAGGTACAGGCGCGAAAGTGTACAGTCAATTCCATAAAGAATGAAATGTTCAAAATTCGAAAAGACCTGATGGTCCGTGCACCGCGCAGCACCGGCCACATCTGATCAGGCCACGCTGTCAAATAAGTGCTCACGCACTCGATGATCTGCAGATGATTGTTTCTTCTAGTTGTCTTTTTTTTAGTCTTTGTTTTTTGAAAGTTTTTTTTTCTGGTCTTGTTTTTCTTTGTTGGGGGTTGGGGTTGACCCTCCCATCCATTCTGAATCACCTGCCGAGTCGCCCTTTTCCGATTGTTTGTTTCCAACCGGGTTTCCTGTGTTTCCGTCTTTCCGACCATTCCATTCGACCCCCAAAGATGGGATTTCAACGATATTCCGAGGATCTCAAGCTCCTGGCCACTCGATTGGCCATGGAGCGTGTTCCTCTGGCCGAAATCAACATTCGATTAAGATCCAACATATCCCCAGTTTCGCTATACCGATGGAAAAATTGCTTACGCAACACGAACAGCGTCATCAGAGACCCAGCAACCTACGAGACACGAGGTCGACCCTTTCTTTTGTCCGACAAGAACCTTGCCGTACTTCACGACCTTGTGAACAATCGCCCCGCGGTCTACTTGGACGAGTTGCAAATAGAGATTGCTGCTTTAACAGGGTTGACTATCTCTCGTGCAACCCTCTGTCGTGAACTTCATCAGCGTCTAGGACTATCTCTGTTAGTCACGCGAGGAGTGCATCCGAATCAATCCCCGGTAGAGTGGACCGATTTTATGTTTCGGGTGGCAGGAATACCACCCAAATACCTGGTTTTTATTGGTACGTGATTGATTCACATTTCCTCGAGCGAGTCCATATTACTAACCCGCTTTCACTGGTAGATGAAAGCGGAGTTGTCGGTCGTGATGCTTCTCGAACCCACAGTTGGGCCAAGCGAGGAACTCGCACAATTCGCCAGCACCGATACACCGAACGTAGTCATTGGACCCTCCTCCCTGCCGTTAGCGAGGAGGGAATGATTGCAGGAGTTGTTCTAGAGGGGCCGGTCCGCAGGATCGATGTGGAGCTATTCTTGAAGAATGACTTGGTAAGGCATCCTTCTAATTCCCCTTCACGTTAGTTTATTCATGTTTTCTCATTTTGGGTTGGGCCACATAAACATTTCATTCTAGCTCCCGGTGATGAACCGATACCCTGGGCCAAACTCGGTGCTAGTCATGGACAATGCACGAGTTCATCATGGTGGAAGAATCTTGGACCTTTGCAACCAGGCTGGAATCCTGGTCATCTATCTCCCAGCGTATTCACCTGACATGAACCCCATCGAGAACGCTTTTCACTGTACCAAGTCTCGGTTGAAAAGAGAAGATCGATGGCTTTTCGAGGCCGACAAGGCCGAATACCTCCTCCTTTTGGCCGCCAGAGTCATGACTCGGCGGTTGATGCAACCCCTCATTGCACACGCGGGTTACACCACTCGGCACTATTGGGTTAGATACAATGCTAGGTTTGATCATTAGACCCATTCCCTCTCGAATGCCTTTCAAGTAATTTGGTTGTTGTTTGCTTTGAATAGCGCTTTCGAATAGCTCAGTTTGTCCTCTTAATAGCGATTGTTGTGCTATGTTATGAAAGTTTGAATTTGTCGTGTTTTGTTCTCAGTTCCGTTATCTTTCAATGATTTTGAACGACATTCAGTTGTCTCTTGTGTGCTTACCGATTACTTGTGTTGTCCATTTGTCAAATCGATCCTTAATCACGCTCAGATGATCTCCTATACTTTGTGATGTGTCCGAGCTGCCCAAATGAAATGCTAAGATGGCTCTTGATTGGTTTATCATAATGAGTATCAACTGCAGTGGTCCCATGTTCTCTAACGTACACCTGACATTGAGTCACCTTTCCGCTGACTCAATGTGAAGACCACCACATTGAGTCAATTGGGCAAAGTGATTCGCGATTTCAATAATCGACGAGTCACTTTCCAAAGCATGTGACCTTTCGAAATGCCGTCAATTCCCATATCTCACAGTGCTCACCAAAAAAGGGGGAGAGCCAATAGCTAGCTCGCTCGCATTTGGAAGGTTCGGTTGTGATCAGAGGCATGATTATGATTTCACATTGCCACATGAGACATCTTTCAGCCAGCAAACAGAGGAATTGCACACATAACTAACACAAAACTAACACAAAACTAACAAAAAACCAGGGAAACAATCGATGGTAATCATAGTAGTATTTTATCGGGAGGCAGTATGATTTTTTTTAAACAAAAAAGGTGAAACACTAATACAAAAACATTTGATTAGCAACATACTGGTTTCTTTTTTGAGTGGAAATCGAATCACATGAGACATTTTGTTATTGGTTCAACCATAAAAATTTTTGATGTTTGTCAAACTACATATCGAGGCGTTTTTGGAGTAGGAAAGAGAAGGAAACTATTTTTTGAAATTTTTAGAAGGCATCACTTTGATGTCACAGTCATCTTCGGAATCCGGAACGACATAAGCCATGTCTCACAGCTTGCTTTCTTCAACATCAACAAGATGATGGTAGAAACGGCGAGCACACTCCATCAACGCCCAACCAGTCCCAAATGGGATTCCCCATCGCTCCATATCGCGCGCGTCGTATGAACCCGGGAATAAGAAAGGATAAAAATTTTGAATCCCATGGTCTTCAAACGCCTCGATGACAAGGTCCTCCTCATTTTCAGGCACGTCAGCAAATGCCACAAAATCGTGGATGGTCGAAAGGTACGCTAGTCTCTTTGCCTCCTGACAATCTACCTCCACATCCATATCCTGCATCTCAGCATAACCCCAGGGAGTCCCAGGCGATCGTGCCACTTTGAGTTCTTGATTCGATGTCTTTGAACGCTTAGAGGACATGATTGGGTTCGTCGTTACGAGGTCCCGCTTGATGGAATGCCACTTGAAGGCTGGATCTTTTGGTGGTGGGTTATCCTTGGTAACCCCGTCAATTCCAGCGGCCTAGATTGTTTGACATACATCAACCAAAGTGATTACAAGGGAGCAGGGCGAAAAAACTACATACTATAGCTTTCGCCCACTTGACCATGTGTTCAAAGGACAAGGTCATGATTCGGGTAGGTTGAAGCTTATCGACTAGGCAATATCCCTCCTTGCAGGTGTTGCCAAGCGCCTTATGATGAGCAATCAAGTCTGTCAAGATCTGTTTCTGTTTGGGAACCGGGTCAGAATGATCGAGCTCGTCTTGCGAAGTCGTGCGCCCATGTTGAACGACGTTTCGAGCGGCCAAAACTGCGTGAGCCAAAGATCGTTTCTAAAAACAAAAAGAGAAATGATCAAAGTTGATATGGGAGAGATGAGTGAAAGGGTGAGTGGACCACACGTACCTCGTTTTCTTGTTGAGCAGCTTTGGAAGGATTTTTCATCGTCAACATGAGGCCGTTTTCGGAGGTCGCATTCTTCACCACCGCCGCAAAAAAGTCTTGCAGTTCCTTATCGGTGGAGGCCTTCATTTCCTTACCCTTGCCATAAGTTGAATGGCCAACGATGTAAATGGCGAGGGAGAGCTGATTGTTGGCGTCGGCAGTTTGAAAGAGGGCCGACATGCCACCGGACCGGTCATCGGTGACCTTGTCAGCAATGGTGAACAGGTGAGATTTGAGACGGTCCAAGGAAGAATTCGTAACCTCGATTTGTTGCTGCGTTATGGGCAACTTTTGCGGAATCCAACGAGGCTTATGATTAGCCTTGACGGGCCCCGAGCTTGCTTCCGGAGTGAACAAACCAAAAGTGATCATGAAATCGCACAGCTTCTGCATGACCACTTCGGGTTGAGCCACTAGGCAGACAGATAGATGTCAGTACACAAAATCAAGGAGACAACTGGTCAGTATCACTTACCAGGTGCAATGAATGGAGTAGGCCCTCTGACGGGGGATTTTTCTTTAACCGGAGAAGAGTGTCTGTAATCGAATTCGACCGGGGTGGCACTACTGGAACCTTCATAACCTTCATCAGCCAAATACTTTTTGGCCATCTTCATAAATTCGGAATCGGACCTGCAAATCAACGATCAGAATCAGTAAGTTGGATTTCCTTGGATTTTCAATTCGAAGACGTACTGGGCACTAATATCAGAAACATTCGACATTTCTAACGGGTTATCAAGGATGAAGGTTGAATTGGAGACGCTGAGAAATAGCGGGATGAATATGAAAGCTTCGACAGGGAATGAAGAATGATCGGATTGGTCTGAGTTGATTGAAGAGACTGTGGATATGGGTGTTCCAGAAAAATGACCAGATTTAGCGCGGCCGGAGTTCAATCGTGGTGGGCTACCCCATCGCGCCATCGAGGGTCCTCTCATCAGATTGGAGATGTCGTACGATGCAAAGGACTCGAGGTTCGTGAAGGTTGAAGAAAATTGAGGTTCGTGACCGTTGTTGAGATTTGAGAAGACGGGATCTGGACAGGATCTGATTGTTAATGCTGATCCTGGTGGTTCGAAGCTCGTCTGGCTCCACGGTGCACGGACCATCAGGTCTTTTCGAATTTTGAACATTTCATTCTTTATGGAATTGACTGTACATACGTAAAATCAGAACAGGGTGTGGAAAGGTGTGGAACTTGAAAGAGCCAACTGCGAGGATGCGGGGCGTTGCATTAGAGTTTAACCACTCTAGTTCAAACAACTCTTACACATCGTTCATCGTATCTCTTACACCTCTCGATCTCCTCCGCCTTTCAGTAGATATCGATCATCTGCTTATTGAAAAGACAAGATATCATCTAGAGGAGAACTTCTACGATAGCTTCTGGATGGATGTTGACAATCCTAGCACGATGATACGCAAGTTCGTGTTTAGAGAAACTTTTGAAGCCCAAGTTTGTGCTCATTTCATTGGACGAGATCACATCTTATCAGATGTTTATCTACATCTTTATCTCTTGAGCTGAATTGTTCTTGATGTCTTGTCGATTCGATCGATTTTCAGAATGGTGGGATTATACCAGAAGGATGGTTAGCTTACAAGATATTTGGGCTGAATAGTCAAACTGATGAGGTAGAAAGCTTACAGGAAAAACCTGTGATTTTATACCCAACGTGGGTAACATAATCAGTTAACTAGTAAATCTCCCAGAGCTTTGGTTTGTAGACTGATGAGAGTTGAAGAGTTTTAGGTGGTTCTCTGGGTTGATCGAGGATAATGAATGGCTTATTGGCAAAGGTAAGGCTTTGATATACGATATTTAGTGATATCCTAATTGCTCATGACTGGTTCGTGCTTCACTCTAGGGATGGCTTTGGATCCAGAACGTTTCTACATCATCGTCGTCGCGATGTTAGGAAATGGTCAAAGTAGTTCTCCCAGTAATACGGTCAGTTATCCTCAACATGATGCCCTTCAATCGCATTTTTTTTCGATTGTATAAGATCACTCTTGAACTGATTCATTTGTTTATGCAAATAGCCTGAGCCATGGAACGGACCGAGGTTTCCGCGTATTACCTTTCATGATCAAGTTAGAGCTCAGCGCCAGCTATGCGATCACTTACAGATTAAAAAACTCCACACTGTCATCGGTTGGTCGATGGGTGCCGGACAATCGTATCAATGGGCTGTCTCTTATCCAGAAATGGTGGAGAGGTAAGTGAGAATGCGAGGACTAAACATATGCACCATGTCATAACTGATCTCTTGTGTGTATAAGATGTGTCCCTTTCTGTGGCTCCGCAAAGACATCAGAACACAACATTACCTTCTTACAATCTCTGGAAAGTACACTTCAATTGGATCCTGCCTTCAATCAAGGTTGGTACCAGATTCCTCCTCAGCAAGGTTTGAGAGCGTTTGCACGAATCTATTCAGCTTGGGGATTCTCTCAAAGCTTTTATCGTGAAAGGTTATATGTTAAAATGGGATTCCCAACTCTTGATTCCTTCTTGATTGGTAAGTTGATTTCATTTTTAAAACCCGCACAGTCGAAAGGCTAGAGACCTTTGGCTTTTGTTTTGATCTCCAAGTTCCATTTGATCCAATCAGGTTTTTGGGAGGATCTCTTTCTCAAAAAAGATGCCAATAATCTTTTGTCGATGCTCTTTACATGGGTGAGACATTATCCATCATTATCTTGCTGTGTTTGGTCAACCTTTGGTAAAATCTGACAGCAAGGTCCTTTGGCACATCAAAAAAATAACAGATCAACGGGGATATTTCCGCTTCACCAGCCTTTGGAGGCGATTTTGAGAAAGCTTTGAAGTCAATCAAAGCAAAGACTCTTATCTTACCAAGCCAAACTGATCTATATTTCCCGTAAGACATCACCTAAAAATAGCATGGAAGAGGTTTCACTCATGTTGGTCACCTTTTGATTCTGATAGGCCAGAGGATAATCACCTTGAAGCTGCTCACATCACAGACTGCAAGCTCAAAGTGATACCTAGTATCTGGGGACACTTTGCTGGTGGTTAAGTATTGCTCCATGTTGCTGCTTTCAGGTATCTTTGCTGATAAAATCTGCTTGCGTGTTATTTACTGGGATGTGTTATGATTGGTGAACCTATCATTGTTCAATTTGAACAGGACCGGGGACCAATCCTGAGGATGTAAAATGGATTGTAAGCTTTGAATTCCTGCAATCCAACAGCTCAGCTATAGATTAGAAAATTTTCTCATCTTCCACTTATATTTCTGTTCATTTTATCATTCTTAATCTTTTTCCAGAATAACGAGGTACAGAGCTTCTTCAACAAGACTGCAGAGATTTGAGTCAAGAGAAAAATCTAAAGTCAATCTAATCACAAGTTCACTGTAAAATATGTGTTTATTTGTCAATTTTCATCATTTTTTTCTTTTCTAGCAATATGAGAATCATAAAGATTGACCTTGTTCATCATATCATCTACTTCTTTACATATCATCTCTTAGTGTATCTAGTATGTACTGTTCACATTTCTGATTGTTGTTCACAATGTTCTTTGCTTGTATTTGTTTGTAGGTATGTAGTACAGTGCCTTTGCTACAGAGCAAATATAGAGAAAGACTAGTATTTATAAATCAAATAGTAACAGTCAATAGTTTTGTGTAGCCAACAACCAGTCAAACATCTCAAATAGGCATCACATTGTGAATGAACAAGGTGAAATGTCTGTTAAGCAATAAATAAAAAATTGCAAATCAGGCAATCATCTACGAAATGGATCAAGGACTCTGATTTCCTTGTACATTGTTCTTGGGATGCTACAAGATGCCAATCTTTTTGGTGTCAAGATTTGGGGACCTCCGTGCAACGAGTGCATACTAACAGGAAACAAATTGTCTTCAGTGAAGGAAGCTTTTGATTGATAAAACAATATGACTGACCAATGTAGTCTCCTGCACGATCAGTGCATGTATAAGAGTCCTCCCCGGAGTTGGTACAGACTGAAAAGTCCCCATCCACAGGAGGAATTTGGAATCAGATACTTTCTGATGAATGGAAAGACAAGTGGTTGAAGATTCTTGATACTGACCCCAATTATTCTTTACTGGGTCCCAACAATACAGCACACATTGTTGCTCACTTTGGCCTTTGTCCTTTGATCCTATCAGTTGACATCCTCTCATCAATACCCATTTATTGCCTAATCTCGAAGTATAAAAAGATGGATACCCTTTGATTAGCTTTACTTATAGCGAGGAGAATGGAGATCCGGTTGGACAAAACTTACCGTCAGACGAGCAATATGAATATGGGCACGTATAAAGGTGTGTTTGCGTGGCATCTTCTTGTGCGGTACGGCATACTTCCAATGCAAGCGAACATGAAGCAGATCCGCGTTAGCCCTGGGTGAAGATCATACTGGAGATATAAGAGAATGGGTATTGAAATGAAATGCGCATACCCCCAACGTTTCCGTCGCCTGCAAACCCTTCGAAACAGATAGCCTCGGTGTCGGGAGCCCCTTGCCCTTCTGCGCCATAAAAGCAAATGGGGAAGAGTAGCAGGGAGATCTTTGCAAGGAGCCGGAGCATTTCTGGTATGGTCAGAGATAAAATAAACTTCAATTGTGAAATTTTGACTTGTGAGAGTTGCGGGAAATGATCAAAGGAACATGATTTGGAGGAAGCTTAGGTATGAAACCGTTACTCTACTAACTTAACAAAGTCCCTCGATGCCTCGACAGCTGTCATTCAACGAGTTGAATCCGCATGTCTCGGCATGAGGGACTTACCCCCAAGGTCATGTTTTTGGCCTGAAGGCTTAGGCTCTTTTTGGTGGGGACAATCTTCTTTTCCTCCTTTCGGCGAGCACACCAAGGATTTTCTGCCAACCGCTCAGCCACGTATGTGCTCGCTCTGCCTACACATCTTACAACTGAAAGCATCCCTGAACGTTGGTTCCTCGCTGAGCTACATCAAATTGCATTTGTGTAATTTTGACATGTAGCTCGACTAAGGTCGAGGACTTCTT